GGGGGGGGCGTCAGGAAGGTGGCAGGTGCACAGCGGGGAAAGCGAAAGTTATGGGGGGGGGATGGAGGTGTAGGAGGAGGTCCACCGCCGCTGCTGCTCTTTGCTCCCGGCGGGCTCAAGAGGAAGAACGGGCAAGGTGGGCAAAGGTCTATAGATCCGTGCGATCGCGGCATACCGACGGAGGTTGGAGACTGGGGAACGGGAGCTGGCGGCTCGGCATGGTGCCAGTGGACCTGGGAGGACTTTCCGACAGCCACTTGGACGTGTCTTTGTGATGGCTGCTCTGGGTGCCACCGGAGACGAGGTCACCAGGGGATAAGGGAGGATTAGCATCAGAAACGGGGAAATAGGACAATCCCGTGTCATCACTGTACGGAAACTGGTTCTCTTACTCTACTGTACGACGGGTCGGCCTTGTGGGGGCTTTCCCCACATGTCATCGGGATGTTACCGTTATTCGAATGTCGCAAGTCGTCTTCATATCGAAACCGAAAGTGGGTTGAATTTTAAATATTCAGAAAAGAAGTCAGGAAGAGGCAAGAGCCTGGCTTTGGAAGATTGCTCACTGGTTTACTGCCAGCCTGTTGTCACAAAGGACAGTCAGCAAGGGAAACCCTTTCACCTTCCGGGAGCTCCTGAGGAAGTTTCTGGGAGGGGGGATTTATTATTATTATTTATTATTTTTTTTTGAGAAATCCACCTTTTAAAAAAAAAATAATAATAATAATAAATGTTTTTGTGTCTTATGTGATGTACATTTGAAACACAGCTACAGATCAGCAGAACTGGGTCACTGTAGGTTTAACAGACATCCCCCACCCAAGCAGTCCAAAATGTGACTGATGTGACTGGACCTCCTCTGAGGGCTCTGATCCAGATCAGCCTGGTTGGATGCCAGATCCCTGGAAAGACTCCATGTACGAAGGACTGGACTACATTTCCTACCCGTAAAAATCCACAAATCCCTCCTCCTGCAAGCGCCTGCGGAACATTCCGGGCTCAGCCCTGTGAAGTCCTACCGCGTGCCAAGGGCACTGGGGCGCTACGCAACATGCTCAACTTCCGCCATCGGACGTGGGAGGTCTCCAGCAGCCCGTCTGTGCTGCCCTCCTACCAAGCTGGGATCCTGACCCACTACAGCAGCCTGATAGACCTGCAGCAGGGGCCGCCCCAGCTCACCACCGCCGCGGGTCGAGGGCGGGTGGCAGCCCGCGTGAGGTGCTTCGAGTCCACGGGCCTGATCTTCCCAACTGACAGCCCCGGCAGCACAGGGGGGGCTCGTAAAGCCCAGACAAAGGTACGAGAATGTGCAGAGCACAAGCTGGAAGATATGGCCTCAGTTATGTGGGCATCGATATCCGTATCTGCAGTGCAAAGCCGCCATTTTCTGTGACATCTGCATGGTGTACCTGAGCTTTGTAGCAAGATTTGAGTAGCATGCATGTGGCATAAGTCTCATAGTTAAGGATTTAATTTGCCAAACTGACACAAGTAACGAATGTAAGTATTTGTTTAAACAGCTGTGTGATTTTAGGTTAAGTACCTCTCTACCTTTGATTTAATTTTTATTTTATCATGAAATGGATTAGTTGGGAGTGTCTGAATTTTACGGACAGGCTATCATGAATAGTTTCTTTACACATATTATTGGCCCCCTTGTGCAAGACAAGGCAAGCTCTGCTTTTTGCCTTAAGTGATGTTTGTGTTATCTTCAGCGATAAAAAGGACTCTGTTCAGCCCTGCGGTACTTTGCCCTGTTCACTGCGATAGATCATGCCTGGATATCAAGGCTTTCGTGCCAAGCAGCTTCTTATAATCCTGTTCTAACCAGTATCTCGTGTCATGAAGTTGAACAACTGGTGTGACAATCCCAGGGCATTAATGATGCTTCCTAGGAAGCTCATTACGCCGTTTCCCGGCCCATGGCTCTTACATAAAGGGCACCATCCTCCAGTCAGGGAATATAAAAGCAGGTGAATCAAAGTAGAGTAAGCAAACACCCTAGGGGCCGAATAGCCTTGTCCAATTCAGCTTGTATTATGCCTGTGAGGCCTCCCTTCCTATAGAGGGCGATGTCTGTTCTTAACCACCATGCTACCTGCTGATGTCATTGCAGCCAGGCTATGCTGGAGCACATTTATTGAAATTGTTGTTTTGGGATTATTTCAGTGTCATATTTGGAAGCAGTACTCATGAGTGGATGCTGAAAGCGGTCATTCTGTCATGCCCCATGTCCTTAAGGCACAGGGTCAGAATCGTAGGGTGAGCCTGACAGGGAGCTTCTCTAATCTTCCCCAAGTCTGGTCCTTTGTTACAAAATGGTGATGAGTCCCAATCAGGCCCGACATTCGGGGGAGATACACAAACAGATGACATTAATCTTCTCTTATCTGGACAAAGATCAGCTCACTCACTGTGAACTGTCCCCAGCTGTTCCAGACAATGGGTCTTATTGACAGGTTGAGATGCCTGTAAGTTAATTAGCCTGACACAGTTAGCCCCTAATTAGTTTCTGGCTGTCGACACCTAACGGGCACACAATGGAACCAAATCAACAATACCCATTGATGCTAGACAGTACGATGGTGAAGATGGGTCTGTGTGACAGGACTGCTTTTCATCATTTTGGGGGACTTTGTTCCTTCCGATACTAGTCACATGCTGGCTAGTATTTATTGCAAATTCTTATTGGTGGTTACCTGAATATCCCAATAAACAGGATGTGAATTTTCTGTTCCCAGTGAATGTAAGAGGTGGTAGTTTGGAAATGTCTTTGTGCATCTAGCAATGCTATCTTACAGGGCATTATAATCTATAGAAATACAGTAGGTCCAACTTCCAAGAGAAATCCAATAAACCAACTACAAAGTTCCGTGCAAAGCAGGATTTATTTTCTTATTGCAGGTAGCTCCTGGTTCCAGCCTTCTCAGGGTCTGTATAAGACCACCTATGTTCATGTTAAATCACGTGGGTGAGAGGATGTAAATGAGTCTGTTGCTTTTTCTTTAGAATTCACAGGCCGTCTCTTGACGCCATGCTGTCAGATGTTCTTATGTCGAGTGGTACAAGGTTAGATCCTACTCTGATTCTTGGTAAACAACATAATTATATAGGAAGCAGCCATTGGTACACATTGGTGAATTTTACAACAGCTGGTGCTCTGAGTTGTGGTTGGGGGCGGAGATTGTCGCCCCCCCCCCCCCCCCCCCCCCCCNAGTGATGGGCGTGGGCAGCCTTAAGGCCAAAGAATATCTACTTACACACCTACTAGCCGATTGATTGTCCCCACATCTCAAGTCGGCTGATCTGTTTGCCCAGTTGAGACTGTCCCCCCCAGGGAAACTGCTGTGTTTCCAGATCTTGGGGTGAGTCTTTGCACGGCTGCAGAGGTAGGGTTAGGGGGAACATGGTACGATTCGGCCACCTGTCATCCTGGCACAGCTGGGACGTCCTGCATTTGGCTCCTGACAGTAACCTGGATGGTGAGGGAGGCCCCCAGAAGGCCCCTGTCCCCACGCAGTACCAGGTAAGGGGGGCCCTGGGGATGGCCATTGGGGGGGGGGGCTGCTTTGGAGAGGGACGCAGATTCTCAAACAATGGAGAAGTTCCACAGTGGTTCAGCGGCTCCTGCCATTGCCAGGTTTTCTTTTTTTCCTCCAGACCTTTGGCTTTATTCTTTTACATTTCAAATCAATTTAATCTGTCTTGTAAGCCGTCTTTTTAATATCAGAGATGCAGAGCTGCCTTTTCACAGCACGATTCGAATGTGTGGAGGGCAGAATTTTTGCCCCTTTCATTGCTATAGGAGACCCTTTAATGCCACTTGAGTTGGATTTGTAACCCAGTTTCCCTTTTTGCGAGTGTTTCCGAGTTCCGCCGGAGATAATGCATGCTGCGGTGAGTGAAAGCGGAGCGATAAGGCCGGCCTACGCGAAACGGAAAGTTTATATCGAGCATGTGTGTGTAGGAACTTACCATGATGTTTCGCTGATGACGCGGAGAATAATCTCAATCAGGCCTGCAAAGTGCTTCCCTGCTGCCATTGTCCCGTCGCTGATTTATCAAGCACGCCGATCTCCAGTGTTTTGAATACTCCTTTGTTCCTCCACCTATACTTCAGTGGCTAATGTGGACGTCGGCACAGTTGCTCCTTTGACTGATTTGTTCCGCTGATTTTAATTGTCCGGCAGCCTTGTTTACCAATGGGATTCATGAAGCGTGCTGGTCCTTTCTGGTGTACCATGGCTCCAGTGTGTGTGTGTGATTTGTGTTGGGATTGAGGGACTCTGAGTTTATCGCAACACCTTGTTCCCACCATTTATCTAAATGTTGGATTAACTGGCCGCCTTAATTCCTAAATAACCCAGTGTGACACCGTGGGCTGCTCTTCTGTAATTGCCTTAGCGATGAAATAATTCAAGCTACACAGACAGAAGCCTTCAGTGCTTTATAAAGTCTGATGCACAATGGAGTTCAGATCGCATTTAGTTTAAGGGCATATAAAAGAACCCCTGGTGTTGGACCCCGAAAGCATGCACTTGTGCTGTAGTCTACATGTAGCTAGTACTGATAGCAGAAAAGCAGAAATTGCAGGAGTTAAAGGGTTCAGTTGTGCTTAGATGCCATATTTAAAGTTGTCATTTATACCCAGGGCAGATGTTTATAGTCTGGACTGCAGGGTTTCAAGAATTAGTGAATTTAAATTTTTTTTTTTCTTTTTATGTGTGAATTGGCAATATGGAATTTTCAGACTGACTGACGTTTGACCCTTCCTGTTATTGGACCGTAAAACGGCTTTAGCGACGGTGGCTTTTGGAGCCCGTCCGTCAGCCCTGGCTGGAGGGAGATTAGCGCCAGGAGGAAGTCTGGCTGTTCCAGTCTCTTCCTGGCTTTGTACAGCCAGCCCCAGCTGACTTGGGGAACTTTGTGATGCCCTGAATCTTCATCAGAGTAGTGAAATGTTATTCACTGGAAAAGGTAGACAGCGAGATGAAGACGGGCGCACAGTGCTGAAGGTGCTGATCTGTCTGATCTGTTGCCTGATGTTTGGTCTGTTGCTGTTTTGCCTCAGTTTCATGGGCAAAGGTGTGTGTGTGTGTGTGTGTGTGTGTGTGTGTGTGTGTG